AAAATATAGTTATTGTTGTCCTTTATTTGTTTAAAGTTTTATGGTTCATCCTATTTGTAGGTGGTGAACATAACGACAATACATGGGAGAGTGTTATACAGTATACCTTTTAAAGTTTACTACTATATAAATTAGTTTAAATCATATTAACGAATTTTATAACTATCACAAATTTAATGTACTACTGAGGTCAAAGTAGTTGCAATTGTATGGATAAACCAACTTATATGGTGGTGGCGCCCAAGACTTTGCGGCCAAACGCCGACTATCGGGTGAGTGTCTCGCTATACGACATACCGGCGCCCATTCAAGTGAATGTCTCAGTTGTGGGTCCGGACAACAACACCGCCACTACCGGTCCGGTAGTGTTCGCCGAGTCTGAGACCCAGATGTTAACTCTGCCGATCGGCGACTGGACAGATGGTTGTTATAAGCTTATAATTACGGGGACAGATGCTAATTTTAGCAGGTACAACCCACATTCATGGCAAAAGTATGATGATTATGATGAAACATTATTGCCGACAACAACTGAGCCCGAGATAGTAATCGATGGATTCCGGGATGAAGTGTCGCTTCAGTTTCAGCCAAAAATAGTATCGGTATTCATACAGACAGACAAAGCTATGTATAAACCCGGACAGAAAGTACAGTTCCGGGCACTGGTAGTCACCCCTTCGCTACTGCCCGTAAGCAACGCATCCGTCGATATACACATCAAAGTTAGTATTATTTAATTAATAATTTTATTTGTAATTTAATGCCAACTATTAATGTATTGATTAATAGGACGGTAACGGAAATCGTGTAAAACAGTGGACAGGACTGACACCTATAAGAGGAGTTGTATCTCAAGAGCTAGAGCTGTCTTCGGAGCCAGTGTTGGGCGACTGGGCTATAGTTGTGGAGGTGTTGGGCGTCAAACACCAGAAGCCCTTCTCAGTGGCGGAGTATGTGTTGCCCACGTTTGACGTGGAGGTAGTGTTGCCTAAGTATAAAACTCGTGACCGGCCGGACATTGTGGCCACTGTTAAGGCTCTCTACACATATGGACAGCCTGTTAAAGGAAGCCTCACTTTAACAGTACTGATTAAGGAGTTGTACCCAAGTAAATATTTAAAATAAACATTTAAGTGATCCAAATAACAATCTGGAAAATGAAAATTGTTAATAACTTTTGAATAGGTAAATTGGTTTTGAATCTGTTTTAACAGAATCGTAGCTATCTAATATAAAATTTATTTCATAAATAATTAGTCCGGGTTATTATAACGACTATTGTAATATATTAATTTTATAAACGGGGAAAGTTTCTTGTAGATTTACCTAAATTGTTATTTGAGTAGCATTAGATATTTGTTGATATAATCATTTAACTTTACTTTGTATAAAAGTAAAGTATTCATATTTATTTAGGTCTAGTAATATATTTTGCAAAAATTTGTTTTAATTTATTTAAGAATATTTCATTATTAATGACACTTAAAAATGTTAAATTTGTTTATCAAAATTATGGTCATATAATTATAGGCAAATACAGGACTCGGTATCCAATTGACGGAAGTGTTGACATACCTATCAATCTGATAGACGACTTGAGTCTTCCAAAATACATCCGACGCTTATATAACTTTAATATAGAGTTGACGGCAGTCGTGACGGAGGCGCTGACCGGCCGGTCGTATAGCAGGTCAAACACTATGAAGATATGCGACAGATATATAAAGGTAGAGCAGGTGGAAACATCTCAGACCTTTAAACCGGGTCTCAAATACCCGGTGCTCATCAAAGTGACCGATCAGGACGACAAACCGGTGCCCGAAAACGGACCCAAACTTACATTGAAATACACTTTCATGTATGACAAGTACAATAAGACAATACTCTTGAGTCCAGTCAATGGACTCATTAATGTCGGTCTTTTCCCACCAAAAAATACCGAATATATTATACTTGAGGCTCAGTATATGGACAACAAGTATAAGATCGGCGAAATAAAGAGAGCTCAGTCGCCGTCCAATAACTACATTCAAGTGGTGCGACTCGAGTCCAACGCCGGCGTGAGTGTCGGACAACAGCTCCGGTTTGCTGTCAACGCCACCGAACCTATCGGTCGACTTGTGTGCGAAGTGTTGGGAAAGGGAGACATCGTTTGGGCCCAAAGTATTGATATACCGGAAAATAAGATGACTCACGAGTTTGGTTTGGAGGCCACACCAGATATGGCACCGACAGCTCGACTGGTGTGCCATTACCTGCGAGCGGCCAATCAGGAAGTGGTGGCCGACGGACTTAAGTTTAATGTGAGCGGAACTCTCCGGACACCCGTATCGGTCACTACTGACGTGCAGACCACTAAACCGGGCGCACCCGTAGAGGTGAGGGTGAGTACCAAACCGGACGCATACGTGGGTCTACTCGGTGTCGATCAGAGCGTACTTTTGCTAAAATCCGGTTACGATATCACACGCGAAGACGTGGACAAAGAGCTCAAGACTTACGACAATGAATACAATCGATGGGATAACTCTGTGACCGCCGGCGAGATATTTGACAACTCGGGTGTTGTGGTCATGTCTAACAATCTGATACATCGGGCGCCGAAAGAGGGTAAACAATATATTTAATGTTGATATGTTATAATAATATGAGATAATCTCATTGAAATTAACGATATTTAAAGAATTAATATAACAAATATTATTATTGTTTTGTCTAATTATATATTTGATCAATTTAACTCCTCAATTATTATTGTTATTGATAATGATTTATTACCACTAGACATGTCATTATTACCTATTATTACCCAGTATCATTCATTGTAAGATGATTGATATGGATATTTAACGTGTGAACATTTAATTATATTTAATATATGTTCCGATCGTTGGATGTTAACATTAGGTAAACATGTAAACATGTAAACATGTAAACATTAGGTTATTAACATTTGATTTAAATTATAATTATATACAGTATGTACAGGGTATTTCAAGAATGGAAAACCCATTATAAACCATTGATTTCCAAATGACCTAATTTTCTCGGGAAATATCGGAGGTAATTAAACCAAAATTTTATGGCTTACAGTCAACTAT